GGGGGGGGGGGGACAAGGGGGTGAAAGACCCCTCCCAAAGGGGATGTGACACCCCCCCGATCCCTCCATCCACCACCCCAAGATAAGAGGAGCTGGGATGCTTGGGGGATGCAGAGGGTGACCCCCAGCCCCTCTGAGACCCCCCCAGCCCCGAATCGTGACACCTACCGGAGCAAATCTCCTGGGCATGGGCACGGGGGGCACCTTGCTCAGCACAGCAGGGTCCTCGGGGCCACCAGGGTTCTGGGGGGACACGGCTGACCCCGCTTTGCCCACCACGCCGCTGATGCGCCGGTACGAGCGGGTGCTCTCCGAGCTGCAGGGGACAGTGGTGACAGTGTCACCCCCTCCCTCTCTGCTGGTGTCTCCCCTCCCCACTGGTGTCTCCCCTCCCCACTGGTGTCTCCCCTCCCCATCCCTCTTTTCCACAAGGTCTCAGTGGGGTCAGGGCCCCCCCCCCTCCATGGGACCCAAGAGACCGGGGTGCCACCCACAGCCTGTTGAGGGACAAGGGCCGCAGCACCCATCCTCCCTCCAAAAAGATTTCCAAAAAGAGAGAAAAAAAATCATGTATTTGACAACTTGCAGGGGGCGTCCTGGTCTTGGGTGTCACCCCCTCCAAAAAGATTTCCAAAAAGAGAGAAAAAAAATCATGTATTTGACAGCTTGCAGGGGGTGTCCCGGTCTTGGGTGTCCCCCCCTCCAAAAAGATTTCCAAAAAGAGAGAAAAAAATCATGTATTTGACAACTTGCAGGGGGCGTCCTGGTCTTGGGTGTCACCCCCTCCAAAAAGATTTCCAAAAAGAGAGAAAAAAATCATGTATTTGACAACTTGCAGGGGGTGTCCCGGTCTGGGTATCCCCCCCAAAATAATCTGTCACCTTCTCCAAGGACAACCCAACCCTCCTGCCGTTGTCTTTGTCCCCTCCTGCATCCCAGGGCCAGCAGCAACTCCCTTGGGGACTTCAGCTCAGGGTGGGGACCCCCTTTGCCCCCCCCACCAAGGGACAATTTGGGGTTCCCCACACGCAGGGGAGGGACACACAACCCAGCAAGGGTTGAAGTTGACTCGCCAGCACCACGCAATGACGGGGGGCCATGGGGGGGGCCGGTGCTGGCGGCGGAGGGGAGGCTGCGCGATGCCGGAGCCTCCATCGTCCCGGAGAAATGTGGCTCCGACGCCTGCCGGGGGAGCTCGGGGCGCTCTGGGGAGGGGGGGACACACACGATGGGGACAATAGATAAGGGATGAGCTAGGGATGTGATCTACCTGGACTTCTGTAAGGCTGTGTCCCACCACAACATAGAATCATAGAATGGTCTAGGTTGGAAGAGATCCTTGGGATCATCGAGTCCAACCATCTCCCCTACTCTACAAAGTCCTCCCCTACACCATGTCCCTCAGCACTGCATCTAAACGGCCCTTAAACACATTCAGGGATGGGGACTCCACCCCCTCCCTGGGCAGCCTGTTCCAATGCCCGACCACTCTTTTGGTGAAAAATTGTTTCCTAATGTTCAATCTAAACCCACCCTGTTGGAGCTTGAAGCCATCCTGCTGGCCAAACTGGAGGGGCACGGATGTGATGGGTGGACTGTTCAGTGGACAAGGAACTGGCTGGATGGTGGCATCCAGAGGGGGATACTCAATGGCTCGAAGTCCAGATGGAGAGTGGTGACAAGTAGTGTCCCTCAAGGGTCCCTAAACCCACCCTGTTGGAGCTTGAAGCCATCCTGCTGGCCAAACTGGAGGGGCACGGATGTGATGGGTGGACTGTTCAGTGGACAAGGAACTGGCTGGATGGTGGCATCCAGAGGGGGATACTCAATGGCTCGAAGTCCAGATGGAGAGTGGTGACAAGTAGTGTCCCTCAAGGGTCCATACTGTTTAACATTTTTATCAATAATATAGACAGGGGGATTAAAGGCACCGTCA